CACAAGTCTCTATTGGAGCAAACTTATGACATTTATAATAGAGAGTATCAACACCATCATATCCTCCTACACCACCTTTTCCACCTTCATCAGGTTTTCCATGTTCTGCACTTCTATTCGATTTATCGATTGATTCGATTTTGTCAACACGTTGATGATTATCATGAATAATCTTTCTATTTTCTTCTATATGAACCTCACCAGCATGTCCACCAAATCCGTCTAAACCTGCATCACCTCCATTTCCACCATCTCCACCTGGTATATCTGGTTCGCCCTCTTTAAGCTCATAACCAAGAAAAAAAAGCCTAACCCATGATCTTTTGGACCAAGATCACCATTCTTTCCATCATGGCCATTACCTCCATGTCCTCCATTTCCACCTTTATCACCCTCGCCTCCAGATGTAATCAATTTTTTTATATTCTCTTGTGCTTTAAACATTTATTAGCAATAAAACAAATATTTTCACCATTTCCACCAACCAATACTCTTTCTAGTGGTGATATCGAAACTTCAAAATAATGAAATAAAAAAACTGCCGCTTTTTAACCCTGGACAGAAATCTGGGCTGCTAGAATTGTGAGCATTTCACTTTTCAATATCAACACCAGAAAGAGCATCAAAAACTGACTTTATGGGTAAAGTTTTAAATTTTATCGATTTATTGAGAAGATCGGCATGCATCAATTAGGACTACTTTACTCGAAAAGTGGGTTCTTTCGCAAATTCTAGGGAATGTTCTTTTGTGATACTTTAATCCGATGAAATCTGAAAGTGAATTAGTGTATCCTGTAGGTCCTGATGAACTCTACAGAACTAAGTATTCAGCTTTCGAAAATAACAACCTCTTGAACGTGTGGAAAGCAGTTCGGGATTCGGTCGAAAACTCTAAATTTAGTTTCTCTTGTCAAATTGATCGCCTTTTCAACAAACAATCTATAAAGCGTATTCAAGCAATGTTTTCTATCCCCGCTGATTGAGTGCTGATTGAGTTGAACTCGAATCTGTAGT